CTCTATATTGTATGAGTGTGTCTCTGATTTGCTCTGTGATAGAAAGGTGACCTCTATCACAATAACCACTGGAGATGAACACTAGTTCTGGAGCTATTCATGGGCCGTCTGGATGCTCAATAATACAGATGTTTGAATCTATAAAATAAATCCCCAAAGTAACAAAGTCTAACAGATGAAAATATGATATTTAATCTACAATGGTGATTCCCAATTCTGGCATAAAGTAGATCACAGATCTTTAATTCCAGTCCTTGAGGTCTGGTGTCCTGCTCCCTTTAAATGTGTCTCTGCTTCAAACACCTGAATTAAATGGATGAATTATCTCCTCAGTATGTAGAGAAGGGTCTGGTCCCAATGTCCACACTACACCCTACGCCCCTCTGTGAAGTATGTAGTTGGTCAGATTGATGTAATAGTTCTAGTGTGAAGGTAACACAATGGAGAACTGAAAAAGAACTGTGAATGACTTTTACTTTGTTTTCACTCAAGCTCCAACATTTTCAAACGCAGACAGCTTTAGAAAAACAGATATTTTCAGGTTTGAAGGTAGAGAACAGTTATAAAATCACAGACATAGTACCTGGTCCAAGTAATCTGTGACACATGATGCAAAAAAACTTCCCTGAAGTGATTTAGTTCATACTGTTAGTCTATGTGTTGAGATGTTGGTAGAAATGGTTATCTCAGTGCTGGATGTGACAGCTTACTGCTTTATATCTGTCTTTCTAATTTCATATTTTATATATATAAGCTACGGAACGTCTTCTTGCTTCTGGGATTTAGATATTTAATATTGTTACTGTTTATTTATTGCAGTTTCTGTTTAATATACATCAGTATTCTGACTGAATATTATTCATTCCAGTCTCTAAGCCCACTGTGATCCTTCAACCCAACTGGCCTCAGATATTCAGAGGAGAGAAAGTCTCTCTGAGATGTAAGATCCATGGAGGTGGAGGAGCTCAGTGGACGTATGAATGGAGACCAACCAGCAGAAACTCTCCAACATCCAATGAATACAGGATCACTGCAGCTACTGAGTCTGGTGGTACATACCAGTGTAGGGCTAGAGGAGACTACCAGATAACAGCCTGGAGTGATGCCTTCAGACTCACAGTGAGCGGTGAGTCAGACTGAACATGTTTAGTTTGTCTTGTTTTCATACACATCAACCTAAATAAAATATTAGGCAACTTTGTTTAATGAGTGAATTAAACACAGTAACAGAGGAGGAGCAGGATGCAGGCGTCTACCGCTCACATTACACTCAATGATCAGCACAGGCAAAAACAAACACATGTTGGGAACTGCTGAGAACAGCTCTCAGTCATCAGGAGGGAGAGGACGCTGGCGTTGAATGTTCGCCGCTTCTCCACCGCTTCGCCGCTTCCCCACGGAAAAAGTTGTCGTTATCAACCGTCGTCATTTCTCGCTGGATTTTCTNTGGCAGAACCAACTGGACTGAACAGAACTCCTACCTCATTAATGGACAGAATCACACAGCAGGATATGTGTGCAGAGCAGGAAGAGGAGAACCAGTGTTTTACACTAAATACAGTGAAGCAAAGTTTGTCTGGTCTGCAGGTCAGTTTATCTCTGTTCATTCAAGGATCCTTTTGTTTTACATTTTTATTATTTTTCAACAATTTGCATTGCAACTATAATGCTGTCCATTCTATTTACAATCAGCTCAGGTTTGTCAGAGTTTCTCTGACGTCTCATTCAGGTTTATCACCTTCCTCTCATCTACCTGCAGTCCATCAGTTTAAGTCTAAGTGTATGTCTATATTCAGGGGCTGCATTGCTTGAAGGCAGCCATTCTAGGCTGATTCTGTCCTTTTTTCACCAAGATTCCTTAAAAAATTAAGGAGGCAACAATAGCAGACGGTCAAGGTGAACAACAGAACAACACAATTGTGAATTAAACTTTAAAAAACTTTTCAGATTTTTCTAGGTGGGAAGATAGCTTTGAAAACCTCATATTGCCAAGGTTTGGTTGTGGTTTGGAGGACCCAAATGCAGAGGCAGAGAGGCTGAGGAGATTTCTTGGAGTTTTATCGGGCAAAAACAGTAAACAATGCAGAAATCCAAAAATCCAACTAATAATGAAAAGCAAACCAGAACTATGGAGACATCTGGGGAAACCAAACACGAGGAGCCAGGGAGAGATGAGGTAGGTGGACAACAGCATGGGAGGAGAGCAAAGACAAGGAACCAACAAAGAGTGAGAGCAGAGGGAGAGTATATGTAGCTGACTGAGACAATGGCAGGGTTAACGAGCGGATAAGGAGGAGGTGTGAGTGGAGACAACGAGGAAGCCAAGGGGAAAGGAACACACACAAGAGGGCAAAAGAGGACAACAATAGAAAAATCTGAGAACTAACATAAATCTAGAAACTACAACAAAATAGGAATTAAACCAATAAAACTACAAAACAAGGAGCAAAGTAAAGTACAACAGAGCCCCGACCATGGCACATAGCCTAGTCAGACTAGCTGTGAGTGCAGCAAACTGAAATCTTAACTAAGAAGTGCAAATTCTCAGTCATCTGGGTCATGACAACCACAAAAAACACAAAACCAGCTTAAATCAAAGGCAACTGGACTTCTGCTCAGTTTTTATTAAAACGTTTGAACATTTAGGAATCTTTGTCAATTCTGTCAGCTCACCCTAAAGCAGTTTCTGAAGACTTCTATAATTTAGGAAAATATTATTTCCTTTTTAGTTAAATATATAATTACATACAACGTAAAGACCATGGTGGCTCTATGGTTGTGCTTCCCATAGAGTTTGAAGCAAAAATCTTTGCTGCAGGTAGATTGAGAGGAAACCTATAAAACCTGTAGGCCCTGAAGGAGCTTTCAGTTTAACTCCACCCCTGATGCCAAAATAGTGCCAACCTGCGTTGCCATGGTAACTTAAAGTTATGAGGGGCCATAGACATCTGCAGCAACTCTGAAAGCTCTTGTTCTTAAAAAGAACAAGAGCTGGGTATTTCAAAGACATTGTTTGATTTTATGATGTTAAATTTTATAATGCCAAATCTCTTTTTAGAGTCAATGTTAGCTGTCAATGCTTTAGCTTCATACTTCTGAACCAGTTCTGATTACTTTAAGCTTCATTTTAACACACAGAAAGGCGGCCATGTTACTCTGGTTCTCAAATCAATCCAATGCCATTCTCTACAATTATCTGAAGATTTTAGTGGTTATTAGGTCTTCATTGCCTTGGTCCCCATACCTTAGTGACTACCTGGTTGGTCCCACCTAGATCATTAAGGTCATCCAGTGGTAATCTACTGCTGATACTAAAGGGTAGAGGCTGCATTTACCTACTATTATATTAGAGCTCTGGAACTTTGAGACTGTGAGGCATTTGTCACTTTAGATAAGGAGAATATAAAAAAACCGCAATTAGATTGTAATTCACTGTGGTTCTCTTTCATTCCTTAGATTTTAGCCCCTCTGCTTAAAGGGAGGCTGTCACATACTATGGCTCTACAAATTTCTACACCAGTATCTTTGGTTGTTTACAAAGAATTTTGGAATAAATTATGGTGCCTTGTTGGCTTATTGTATTTTATTTCTGTGTTTTCTTTGTTTTTTTTTCACTATTTGTTTTAAACTTAAGTCTTCTCAATATTTACTATAACGAGATCATATTATCAGACGTACAGTATTGTGCATGTGTGCAATGAGTAAACCAGAGAGTAATGGAACAAAGCAACCAGAGATGTGACAAAAAAGACAGAAAGTCCAGATCAAGTGTGAAAAGCAGAACAAAATGTTTGATGCCAAGAGGGAAACAGCTGAGTAGCGCTTAGAATAAATATGAACTTTGGTTTTCACTGAGGCAGGAGCTGAAGCTGCCAGAGTTTGTTAGATGATGGTGATGCTGAACAGCAGAGTTTATGTCTATTGATCGCAATTGGTAAGAAAATCTCTTCATGCTCAAAAAGAACAAAGTAAACACTATCAGGATGAATGCTTGGCATCTATTGCTTTGTTTTAACATGAATATCTGAGGTTTAGGGTCTTTGCTATAGAAAGCATAGAAAGTAAATCACATCTTTTTAAAGTCCCAATAAATTAGAGCACATTCTTCAACATGACTGTTAAAAAGAGGCAATGCAATTATTTTACCATCATTTTATTTATTTATTTATTTTCAGACTCTCATCCAGCTGCTTCTCTCTCAGTGATTCCAGACAGAGTTCAACATTTTATCTATCAGTCTGTCACTCTGAACTGTAGTGGGAAGAACACTGAGTGGAGACTGAGGAGGTTTACAGAAACAGGTGGACTATCAGACATTCACTGCTCCAACTGGAAGACAATGACTGGATCCTCATGTTCTATAAACACAGACTGGTCTCACAGTGGAGTGTACTGGTGTGAGTCTGGATCAGGAGATTTTAGCAACGCAGTCAACATCACTGTACAGGGTAGGTTATGATTGATGATATTTCCTTTCACCTTTTCCTGTGTTTCCACATACTGTAAAAGCTGCAGTTGCCGTGAACATAACATTAATATCCAGAGACTGATATGTTGTATTTGCTCTCCAAGAAAACTTAGAAGTAAATAAAAAAGGTCGTAAAATATTTTCTTCCTTCAAAATCCTTCAGCTCAGCTTCCTTCAGCTCAGCCACATGTTTTTCTAACATGTGGCTTCATGTTTTTAAGTAAATATTTGCTCCAAGGGAGTTTTTGGCAAAAATGACAGATCATTCATCTCCCTATAGAATAGAGAACCTGAAATATATTTTAAAATGGATCAATAGAGGAGAAATATAAAAAAATAGAAGAGTTGCAACTTTATCCGACCAAGATAACAATTCACAGAAAATGAAAACATCTCTCACAATACGTCCCTTTCTAGAAAGAAGTTACATTTAAACCTTAGTTTTGTCTTCAATGTTTCTTTCATGGTTTATTAAAAAATATAATGAGAAGAAACTAATTATTGCGAAGTTCAATAATTTGTTTTAGATAATCAGATTGCAAAATTTCTTAATATTAGTTTTTTTTTTTATTAGATTCAGGTGAGGCTAAAAATGTGACCTGAGAATTTCTTCAAAGAGAATACATATAATATAACAAAGAAAAATGTTTACTGTAAATGCAACTTAGTCTATTTTACATTCATAAGGCTCTCATTGCTGGCCCTAATGAGTTGTTCTTTCAGCAGGTCTTAGTCCAGTTAATTATTGATTGATTACTTATTTACCTGATGATTAATTCAATAATCAATCATTTATAATTAATGCAATAAAGTTTTCTAGCATTAAAAATATCTTATTTTTTGATAAATGGTTGAGAATCCAAATGCAAAAAGAAACATATATTTCAGTAAATCTAAATGGGAATACTTAATGTTTTTATCTGTTTTCAATATGAGGTTAATGAGAAGAAAATTTACACTAAGATCTCAGACTTCAACACTAAAGTTAAACGACAAGGATTAGTGGTGATGTTTAAATGAAATTTTGGGGGAACTTAACCCTTTAAAACCAAGCATATTATATCTGACACATGAGTTTTTGAGACCTCTGCATCACCAGAGTGATATTTTTGTTTTTGAAAACCCTGACATACACCAACAGACACACATAGTGAACAGAAAATCTATTAAAGATTATAGAGAAATGACAAATGAGGCAAATAAATGAATTATCTAATTTAACCTAAACCAAATGCATTTTTTAAAATTTCTCAGAAAGCTAGCCATCCATGTGTCACGCAAAGCTTATTAGTGTCTGGGAGAAATTAATAAAATCAAACAAAATTTTATAAGATCAGTCCCTCTTCTTTAATCACCTAAACATGAAAAATATAACGCCCACATTTTAACTACAAACATGAAATCATCTCATCTTCACTATCACTGAAAACGTCTAGTGAACAAAAGAAATTTAGATAATAAATTATTAAAAACAATGCTTGTTTTATAGGGTCAATTTTTATAATTAACATAAATTAAGAACAATAACAAATTTCTGAGGACATAGAGATTCTTGCATTGTTAGTAAAAGGTAAACTGACCAAAACCTGATGTTCTGAATGTTTTACAGATAAATATAATTACGGGATCATCCTGGTGAGCCCCGTCCATCCTGTGACTGAGGGAGATCCTGTTACTCTGAACTGCAGAGATAAAGAACAAAAACTTCTCTCCAATGTGTTTTTCTATCACAATAACAAACTGATCCACAATGACAGCAGAGAGGAGCTGAAGATCTCTGCAGTGTCCAAGTCAGATGAAGGTTTCTACAAGTGTAAACATTCAGGAAAGGAGTCACCACAGAGCTGGATGGCTGTTAGAGGTGAGAGGATGAAAACATTTGATGGATTTTATGATGTTAGTGAAAACAGAGGATATTTATGTGAACACGTCTCACAATCTGCAGATAAATAAAAACCATTCCATTTCCATTTTCCTTATTTCCAGTAACTACATCCAGTCCTGTCAGCTCTTCATTTTCTGCTCTGCTGATTGTTGGAACAGTTTTTGGAATCATTCTCCTTATTCTCCCACTTATGTTGTGGCGCTGCAGACGTTCCAAAGGTCAGATCACATTCTGTCAGATTGTACATTTTCTTTAAATAAATGCAGTTGTCGTATCTTAAGTATGATTTGAACTATTAAAGATAGAAATTAATAACAAATGTCTTTTTCACAGATTCAAATTCTTCCAGGTCTGTACCCCACTCTCATTTTCATCTATATTAATATAACTAGCTTAAATAAAGTATATATAATCCCTGTAATTGGTTGTTATAAATTGTATTTGTATCTTGTGTTTCAGATCATATAGAACCAATCAGAAGTCCACCACAAATCCCGGAGCAGAGACTAATGACCGTAGCTCTGCTACGAAGGGTAGGAAGTTAAATAAGTATTCTCAATATGTATAAAGATATAAACATATCTTTGTCTGTTTTTGAAATAAACTAACTCAGTTAACATGCAAATATCATGAAAAACAACCAAAAAAGCTACAGTGAAACTAAAAATATTGTAGACAAATAAAATATGAAATCCAATTTAAATACAAACATTTTTCTAGTTGTTATATTTTTGTTTTGAGTGATTTTGCTTCATAAATGTATGGCCTCAATAGATTTTAGAGTACTGTAAACATTGTATAAAGGAAAATATACTGAAAAGTAAGACAAATATCAAATTTATTATCTTTATTGTTATAATTATGGTGTTTTATGGTCCATTGAAATAAATGATTAACCCTGTAATGTTTCCCTTTTTACTATAGATGATGTCCTCTATGCATCAGTCAACCCAGGAGCCACTGGATCTGGTAAAGTATATCTATTTAAATCAGTAACAGTCTCAATAACTGGTTAAAAAACAAAACAACAACAAAATAATCTAATTGCTCTAAAATCATTTCTGCTGCAGAGGAACCCACAGAAATCACATATTCCATTATTCCATTAAAAAAACTCAGAAAAAAGAGTAAGTTCTAAACAAACCTCCTACAAGAAAATAACTCAGTGATTCCAGACTTTATGATTTTGTGTTGTTGATGATCTGATATTCTCAACAGACAGACATTGTGAACCAGAGGATGGTGTTATTTACTCTGAAGTGAAACCAGGAGCTGCAGGTACAGTCAGTCTTTACATATCTGTCTATATTGGTTCTATACGCTATACTACCTCCTGTGTTTTTGAAACACAGGAGAACAACAATATAAAATAATTTCATGTATCTACTTTTACTTTAACATATTTGATTATTTCTGTTTTAGGAGCTAAAAAATATAAATGGAGCAACTAGAGGTTGCACAAAATTATCCTTGCAAGTAATTTTGATTAAATTTCACCTGGCAAAGACAACAACGACCTTGAAATATTGCTATATGTCATCGATATGCAATGAAATCGAAAATGCACAAAATTTTGCCATATTTTTATATGTTGATATTTTGACGCGGTATCGATCTATTTTACTAACAAAATCTCACAAGAATTTGCTAAATATCACGAGTTTGTAACAGAACAATGAAATTTCACGAGATTTTGAAAGTAAAATAGATCAATACCGCGTTTTCAAAAATCAATTTCAAATTTATAAAAATTTAAATGGGTCAAGTTGTGGTTTATTTACTCTTTATATCCCGCATCAGGTTTGATTAAATCCATTTTCTGTTTCAGAACCCACTCCCTTGTATGCTGAAATCAACCACAAGAATAAAGCTAAGAAAAAGAAAGGTAGTCCAGTGTATTTATTACTGTTGCACCGATGCCATTTTTTGGCCCTGATACCGATGCCCGATACCTGGCTGTGGAGTATCGGCCGATACCATCTGTTTGAAACTGATGTGTGTGTGTGTATATGAAGAACTGCATACTACTATGATGTGAAATAATTGCCATCATTTGAAGCAGGAAAAAGACTAATACAAAGTGAATCCAGCAGAACTTGTTGTTGCCTTCCTGGAATGGGTGACAATAGTTGAATAAACATTTGGCTCTCAAAATGTTATCAGTGCCCTATTTGTTGGTACTTGCCGATACCCATACCACCATTTTAGTGCTGGATCGGGGCCCTGTGCAATACTGGTATCAGTATCGGTGCAACACTAGTATTTATTGGAATAATTGTAGACATGGAATTTATTGAATACAGTATTGTTACTAGAACTACCTTTTATAGTTCTCCATTTAGTTTAATTTATTTATATTACAAATGGGTTTTCTATTTATGTGATCATTATATGCTACAAGTTGTTTATATGGGCTTGTTCTAGTAAGTATGACCTTAGAGATCAGAGTCCTGCTTTTTGATTTATCATTCATATAATTCATATATCTATATAATTTACATACATTGTTTCACACAAATGTTCTCCTTTCACAGACAAGGAGAGCCCTGCAGCAACAGAAGAAACTGTTTATTCTGAGATACAATCATGAACAGCTCTGGATAATGAATCTGCCCTGTAGGCTGCCTGCTCTGCTAGATTTGTCTGCATTGTTGTGCTTTAGTTACAACATCAGAAGACAAACTAGATGAAGAATTGTAACTATTTAACATGCTTAGATGTCCATATACAATATATTCTTTCTATGGGATCATTATTGTCTTTAGGCTCAAGATTCTTGCTTTTGATGCTTATGATTGGTAATTGCATGCACATGATCCAAAAGAAACTGCAAAACGAAAAGTTTAACGTTGGTGAATTTTCATACTTGATATTATACATATACAGCCTGTCTTTCCTCTATTAAATAAAAAGAATGCTTTATGGACAACATTATTAGAACAAGCATCTTTTAGATATGAAATATGTACATATGCTCGTATTGTTTTGTATGGTAGACTTTATTAATATTTTTTTTATTGTTCTTTAAAGTAATGTTTTTGTTGTTCCACACTTCTTAGATGCAGGTTCACTATGAAATCTATAAAGAGAGACTTCTAAGATATAATTTACAACTAAAACAAGCAAAATAATCTTTCTTCTCTGAGATTATCAACAACACATTATCAATGCTCATGCCTTTTTAGCCACAGGCACAGCCGACAGGTTAACAGACCCTCTTATCTCTATGACCATGAATGACTTTGCAAACTTCTTTGCTTAGAAAGCTACCCTATCCGTTCTTTGCCTGTAACAATAGCAGTTATATTTGCTGTGATCAGTTGGTAACAAGTAGTTTTAATATGTATTTAAGGTCCACCGGAAAACTTCATCTCTGCAGTCAGTTAATCAAGATTACAATCCTGACTTCAATACTATTTCTCTGTCAGATCCGCTCAGAATCGATGGTGGGCTGTCACTAGGAATCCCTTTCATCAGCAGCTTCTGGCTCGGTCGCCTCTTCACTGTTTGCTGTGGCTGGAAGTGGATGTTAGAGTTTTCCACGTATGTAATCCAAACTGCAGGCAGCAGAATAATAAAATTGAACATATTCTGCCGGACGAAGCAGCATTTAGTTCCTAAGCTTCACTTCTCTACAATCGAATAAACTTCTATTAGACTGTAAATTAGCTGAAGGTCTGTTTTAATTTAAGATAAAAAAAACAAAACATTTGTTTATAAATGTATTTGCCTGTTGAAGTTAAACTGTTAACTGGAGTTTCATTAGCTTAAGTTTGTGGTCCAACTTTTCTATGTATAATGCTTTTATTTTTCTTCTATATTATTGTTTAATTCCTATAAATAATTGTCTTTGCACTGAATTGTTCTAATGTATACAAATAAAGTTGCCTTGCCTTGCAAACAAACATCCAAACCAGGACTAATGTGTTTACTGGATACAGATGAAAACATAGATAGTGTTGTTGCTTAGATTAATGAAAAAAAGCATTAATAACTTTTTATTAACATGTTACATTTTAGTGACAGTATTTCTTTCTATCAAGATGGAGGAAAAACAATGGATAAAAGAATTTGAACAGATTATGCTTTATTTTTTGTTGTAATCTCCAACCTTAGACTGAAAAGACCAAACACTTTATATCTGAACTTTAAAGAGATGTATGACACAATAATCTGACAAAGCTGGAAAATCCAGCGTTGTTGATCTTTGTTGATGGTTCTGCTTCTTGCATCCCTGAAACTGGTGTTAACCAGGTTGGGTTTGCTGTTCTCTCCTGTCTCTAGTTCGTTGCCAAAAACCTCCGTAGCTCAAACTGCTGAACTTGTTGGTTGAACAGAAGCCTGTAAGTTTGCTGAAGGAAAAGCTGTGATTATTATACTGCTTTTGGTTGTGGGTTTTGATTTTGCATCATATTGGAAAAATCGTTCATTGTTGTGTTAGGTTTATTCTTTATCAACATCATGTGCATTGTTACTCTGTTAGCCAGATTAGATTGAGTAGAATGTCTTCCTTCACATGGTGTCATCTAAATAGGACAGCCTTCTTGTCTTTTAAAGATGAACAGGACAAAGACACATCTTGGAGCCAGACTGATAGAGGAGAGCTCTCTGTAATTCTGGGGCATAGAGGCAAGATGCATTAAGGTCAGGGCATGGATGGCATGTCAGTTTCTGACACGGACAGCTAAGCACCTGATGCAAAACATGGACTCATGGGCTACAAGAAGGAAGAGATGATCTTGTTCGGGGCTCAATCTTTGCCGGATGCTCGCTAACGTTTTTTGAGCCCACAGCTGTGCCAACTCCATCAATTTCTATGTCCTATCCTGACCTGACCTAGAATATACTCTGTTACTTTTTACTCATTTTTTATTGTCCTTTTTTATATGGTTTTACCCAGTTTGAGTTAAGCGTAATAAATAACCTGCTCCCAGGAAAGGAACCGGAAGGGAACTTCTGAGGTGCAGCCGCTTTCAGGGAGACCTAACTTCCATATTTAACATTTAAAATCAGATGGAAAGCCAATTTTCTTCTTCTACACACATTATGTCTCATGGAAGCAACAGAAAAGGCTACCGCAAAGCTTGCAGCTTCAGTGTCTTCTCTGTTCACAGCGCTGCAGTCCACTGACACACACACACAGTCCTCCCTCCCTACTCTCCCGAGGAGAAGTGTGTGTTTGCACATCTGCAGGTGTAAAACTGATGAAGATTAACAGTAAGGAAGTAAATGTATTGGGTAAGTTTGGAATTATGGAATAATTCAGTGATTTGTGACAAATTTCAAATCTCAATCTAAAGTTTTTTAAGCTACATTAAATTATTGTATACACTATTGGTTGTGAGAGGGCCAAATAACATATGATCTGTCCTTCTCTCAGCTCCCTTAAAGGCACACTATGCAACATTTTTCAGTTAATTAATGTGTTCCATAACGTTATGGATGACTAAATGAGTCATTTCAGGTTGAACAAAGGTATTCTCGGCCGCCCTGGTGGTCTGTGGGGGAAATAC